TAATGATTTTTTTTTTTGAAAAAATGGTATTTTTACAAAAATTTTGAAAAAATGATATTTTTGAAAAATTATATTTGAAAAGTGGTATTTTTAAAAAAATTTCCAAATTATTGACTATTTTGCTTGTCGATTACTCCACTAACGCTGGCCAGTTTCCTAACAAACAAGCATAATTATTTTAGTATTTTCCAAATTATTGACTATTTATCTATTTATTATGTTCGCATCAAGGGAATTCATTTTAGTATTTTTGTAGCCCATATTACTGCAACCGACTAACACTTGTCTAAGAACACAAATTGATTATCAAAATATATAATCATGAATATAAAAATTACTTCAATTTTATATATATTTTGTTTGTTCTTAATTTTATATACTTTTGCCAAGAGAAGAAGGAAAAAAAGTCGATGGCTTGTTTGAGAAAAAATGATTAAAGACCATAATTTTTTTACTTAGTTTTTTTTTAACGAAATTTAACTTTTTAAACTATATTTTAATCTTACATGGCTTATTTGGTTCTTTTGCACCCACAATTTTTTATAGATTAGAGTTTCCCATTACCATATATTTGGCAACTAGTCAAAACTCAAAAGACTGTTTGATCCGCCCCTAAAACCATTCTAAGATAAAACGCAGTTTATTTTTCGAGATTCTATATAATAATGATTATTATTCTAATTTAATATGTCTAACAATAATCATGTAAAATGATTAGATAGTTTCACATTTGAAGAGACTTTAATCTGATCTCCTATTTCAACTAATATGACCAAAAAAAAACAATTTATTTCAACTAAAAAAAATTCAAAAAAAAAAAATACCAATATGATAAATCTTTAACAAGACAAACAGTTTATCTACTATTTTGTTACCCGTTGGTTTGTGATTTAGATTTTTTTAATATTAGTTGAACAATTTTCAAAATTAATGATATTTGTAAAACCAAAAAGAATTAAAATTAGAGTCTAAACAACTACAAATTTTAACATCCATAAGACCAGAACAATTAACCACCAATGAGAGGAAAATATAATTTATGTTGGAATCTCCTTCTATATAAAAAAGTGTCGGTGTACCGTGGTAATTTCCGATTTGTTGGTTTTCATTTTAGTTGGCCCGCGTAATTATTTGTTTATGAAAACAACAAAATAGGTGCCGGCCAAATAAATGACTATTATTGGCAGTAAAGTCTTTTGCATACTCCTGAAAGAAGTATTAGTTGTTAGATGTGGATTTTTAGTTTGAACCAATATCTATATCCCCCATCTATTAATTATTCCCTTTTAACAGTTTAGGTTTCATTACTTCAACTTTGTTTAGTTCCTTTTCATAAGAAAGATTAAATTTCTTTTCTATTAAAATAAACAAAAAGCTATATAAGATCATACTTTTTCCAAGCTGAATAAGTTACCTTGATAGAAGCAACAAAAGAGATGATGTAGCTATAATTGTCTCCGCAAAAGTTTGATAACGACCACTGTATTACGAAATACTGTCTTCTTTTTTTAGAACAAATTACGCAATATATGTCTTGACAATATTTCGTAATACACGACTGTATAAATTATAATTTTCAAATTGTTTGTGACAAATTGTAGTTCATTAGATTTGGGGTTTAGATTACTTTTTAAATTATAA